GAACAGTTAAGTTGAGATCAGTCAAGCAAACCAATAGTCAGAAATCGGGTTAACAGAATAGGTCCCTGAGAGGTGTTTTTTGTGAGCAGTAACAATTTGCGCTGTATTAACTCAATGCCTAAGTCAACGATCAAGAGTCCTAATTCGTCAGTGCAATATTCATAAACTCCTGAGTAGGTGGACAATGGCGAAAAGATTTGCAAATACTAGTCAGCTAGAAATTCAGCTGCTTCAGTGTTAGTGCTAGACAGTTTGCTGGTACCTAGTCGTTGAGAGACTCACATTTTCGCTTACCGGAACGATGCGGCATAGCGAAACAGACTACACGGGTTCGAGATAAACACGTTTGTAAGCCTAACTTAATGCCGTTGATAATCGGTTCTCACTGTCTTCGTACTTGTGTTTCTTGTCTGTTAGAATAGTCTGTTGTGTATTGAGTACCAGTCCTTTTTGTATTCAAAACAGAGGCGTCTTTTTAACCTAAATAGTTTGCGAGTGGAATTATTTTTTATCTTGGGCGATTTGAAGCACTTTGGTGTTGAAAGTGGAACAGACTGAACGATTGCATGCATGATTTTACTAAGTATGAATCTCCAATGGAAGTACACATCTTGTCATACATGGTCAACTTCTCAATCTGTCTATTGTAGCGCCACCTGAAGAGCTGGAGTGTTAATTCGTTGGAAGTTTAGTGACACTCATTGAAAGGTTTGATTGGATTGGCTTCACAAACATACTAGAAGCCAATAGCAACGTTGTCGCTCCTGCCCAAAGAATGAAGAATCAAGAATTCTTCATTTGTGAAGACAGCGTAAGCCGGATGGGGTTTGAGTCTCCCTTGATCTCGTTACCATTCTCATATTTTCCGTAAGCCCTATTTCCTAAGTCACATAGGAGAATCGGGCTTCAGTGGATTTATCACTCCCTATAAATGTATAATCTGAAAAGTTAACCTTCTGTAAATTGAAGTCAATTAGTTTAAGAGAGTAACTGATTGCCTTTAGTACTTGACCATCATAATATATATCAGGAGATCACTTCTTGCAAATGACTCTCATCAAGCGCTCTGTAATCTTTGACAGCTTTATGGAGCACCAGATGAGCTCCTCATTACAATTCGTGAATGTGGATTTGGTGAGCTGTGAGAGAAAAGCTAACGTAAAGTGCTACCCCACTCCCCGTATCAGATTTCCTGTCGTTGCGAAACAGCGTGGTGTTAGCAACTGCCAGCTCCTCATATGATATATCAGAAGAAACCCACGTCTCAGTAATACCTATAAGATGTCCTTACTTAGTTCCCACAGTTCATCGAGTTTATTCGGTAAACTTTAGGTATAGATCCAATTTACTCTATCTATTTGGAATGCACTTCCTGAGCCCTCTTCATTGTCTAGTTGGCTGGCTAAATCCTCAGGCATGGGGTTGAGAACCTGCCTATGTTCTGTTTACCAGTGTAGTGTTCCCCGTCTCTCCCCCGTTTAGTGTACCCAAGGGATTTTCCAGAGGTACAACCAGCTCCAATTATTTTGTTTCCATTGCATCCTGTTGTCCTAAGACCTACCAGGCTGCATGAGGACTCCAAATGGCAGGTGATGTATGTTCGTTTAGAATGTCTCCAGTTGGGATGCTGGTATTTGAGAAGCCAGAAACACCACTTTGATCAGCCTTGGTCTGGGGTCATCATCTTTTTGGGCATCCATCATATGGTCTGTATTATTATTCCCTTGAGTTTCTTAGTATTCTTAAGCAACTTACATTCATGGTAATCATAGTGAATATCCTCGATGCCCAGGTTTTTAGGTATATCTTCTATTATTAGATTCCTTTCTCTAAAGTATGTCTCACAATTGTTGCCCGAGAGTTTCTGTATTGCCATTCTCTCATAGTGCGGGATATCTGGTGGTAACCTTACTTTCCCTAGTTTTTTAGCGTGTGAGTCAATAACAGTATTTCCCTAACATCATTTGAGTTAGAGGATGTTAGCTTTAACAGTCGGGGCTTATCCTGAATTATTGGATCGGGACCACGTGGGAGCCTAGTTTCAGCTATTGGTCTAATGTGGTTCAGCTTAAGTTTTGTGCAGTCAGTCTAAATCAAAGGATGAAGAATACGCAGAAATATGAGTGAATTATTGTCAATGACACAAGATAAAAATATTCATATTTGAGTTAAATGTCTAAGGATAACAATTACTAAATCAAAAGTCCTAAGATTTAATTAGGTTTAAGGATTTGACATGAGAAGTAATGGCTAGAAAAGTTGACCTCAAATGCGCAGTTCCGATTTCTATTTACTTATTGATAACACTTCGTTAATAGATTATGAATATTTGTCTACACTTTCTTTAGGCTTATTTTGTTTTCTGTGATTTTTATCAAACAAACTTATTGGATTTTGTATCCACTGACAAGTCAGTGTTATAGGATAGAGTTGTTGATTAATCTACAATCATGTTTGTTTCAAGTAAGTATACATCATGGGCAGATATGAGTTGGAGAAACATTGGAAACTGGGAGCATTGGACAGCTGCTTCAGGGATCAAACAAGAAGGTATTTGGTTCGATCACTGGAGAGTGGCGTCATAGGTGCGCAATGGTGAGGAGTCCCATAATAGGATGAAACATCTGTCCAATGCTCTAGGGTTTCCATTGTTTCTCCAACTGATGTCCCTCCATGATGAATTATTATGATCATTTGCCCTTGGGTTCCTTGTGTAACATAGAGATTCAGTAGTGCATCTCCAATTCACTCTCTTCTCTGGAGTTTTTTCAACCTGGCTCCACTACTACCCGTAAACTTTCATTTCTTCCTCACATGATCTACTCCATGTCACCCTCACCTGAGACGCCCAACTGGTCGTTTCTTATTTGGATTCTATTCAAAGACGTGGTGAGTGGTATCCTCAATCGGTCTTCTCAGTGTATGTTCAGTCCAATCCATTCCCACTATCTTCGGCATATTTGTTGGACGATGGGTTTTGGTTGGTTCGTTACCAGCCAGAATTCCATGTTGCCTATTCCTTGTGCCATTCAATCTTCAGTGCAAGCATTTAGTCCTCACTCTTAATTTCGCTTTCATCGGGGTAGGCGAAGACGCATCGGCCGATTGGCTTGCTGAAGGCTTTAGCCAACTGGTGTCATTTCGCCTCTCCGATTCCAGCGAGGAATAAATTTACTTTTATATTTTCTTTGTGTTTTGAAGTTTCTTTAGCGGCCGGATTTGTTTTCCGGGGTATGGTTGGTAGCTGTATGCCCCTCTTTATGCGGGTTTAGGACCGGTTGGTGACTAGTAAACTGGTTGACTTAGCGAAGTTTCCATGATGAATACCAACTTGAAATCAATAAATAATTGGCCACAACCCCCGAAAGTGAATATAGTTCAGTTGTTTTCAATTAGAACATAGAGATATGCATTACAAGTCCCCGTTAATACGACTACACAGCTTTGTAAATGATATGATCGCAAAAGCAAGTGATGTATTTGTCACATACTGTATTTTTCACAGTACTGTTTGCTTCAGCAGTTAAATATTAGCACATTGAGAATGTAGTAGTATGCCTAATTTTTTCGCTTCATAAGACTAAACGAATAGACATATAACCTAACAATCAGTTACGTAGAATCTAACTGGAGCCATGGATCAGATGCACTAGTAGAGGTATGAACGTCAGATGTAATCACCTAGTGTGTAATCGACCCGTTTGACCAATTTTAAGGAGAACACAAAAATCATTGGGATATCAGAAGAGCGAAAGCAGATTTTACCCGTTAAAGAAGTTTACCGAAATTTCATGAATTCAGCCAGTTAAGAAGCTACTCAAACGTAATGCAATGAAGTGTAATTGCTGAGTGACAGAGCACCTACCACCAATTTAGATAGGCTCGGCCACAAGACGCTTGTTGTTTGGCACTTACTTTACTCATTTCCATTTGATTCGTTCGTCAAAGATAATTAGACAATTAAAAACACTTTAGTTTGCTCTCCGTTTCAAACTTTGATCAGATTGTAGGAGAATACAGTCATCTTTCACGACACTGATTCAATAGTTTGAATGAGTGTGCTATTGTAATTTCGATCTGGCGGTAGAAGAACTGTCACTTTCATCTAGTGCTTTGCAATAGACCATATAAAGCCATTCAGAGTGGTCTGATTTCGTTATACGATGATCATTTTCATCCCAATTTCCTAGACAAATTTTTACACCGGTGATGAAGTGAAATAGCGTTTTGTCTCGGCAGAGTGTGACTATGAAGTGAAATACTAGTAGAGAAGGAATAAAACTTGTTTCGCATTATGTTTAAAAAAGGCTATTCGCAGTATTGAAAATGGTAAATAGCGACGCTATCTGCGAAGTCTGTGAACCTCATATGCAGCATTCAGAAAGAATGATTTAGGTATGATCCAGTTAGGCAATCGTCACAGACATAAGAAAGAACAACTGGGAGAGGTGAGCTCAAAAGTGTACAACATGGTTTACCATGAATATGCTTCAAATGAATGCTGAGACACAATGATGTTATCTAGTTTTGGCGAGGTAATATTTCGAGTAAAATTACTTCCCGTGATCACACGAATTGTCGGAATTATTTGTATTACGGATATAGATATATGTATATATACAAGACGGTATTCAGCCAGGGGAGTTCTAACTGCATTTTATCAACCGATAGGCACTTTCTTTGATGTGGAGAGATAGATAGTCCTGAGTTTCTCGTGTAATACAACTAGAGTTAATACACCAACATCTTCGGGTGTAAGCAGTGATAGAAAGTAGAAAAGCTCTCAAATTTCATGCGACAGCAAGTAGTGTACGCAGGAACTTAATTTGATCATAGTGAGGAAAGTCAATAAATTTATGATCAAATAATATTTATGTTGACGAATAACAAGTAGATATGAAGAGAGAGGCAATATCCAAACTAATTATTCAGTTTTAAAAGAATACACTAAATGTAAACAATATTTTGTATTTTTCTCACAGTATGGGTTGAATTTAGGGTGAAAACGGTGGAACTAGGTTGTTGTACAACATATATATATCAGTAACATTCACGCGGCATTTTGAGTTGTTGTTCTGGTTACTGTGTTGTTGATTGCCAAAGTCATGCTATCATCGTGGGTGCTCAAAGAGACTAATGCCAAACCTGAGGATTTGGCAAACATCGCCAGATTGGCAGAGCAAGCAGAGCGCTATGACGATATGGCAGCTGCTATGAAGCTTTATACTGAGAAGAAGGAGCGGTTGGAAAATGAGGAACGTAATTTACTATCTGTGGCGTACAAAAATGTTGTTGGAGCCAGACGATCTGCATGGAGGGTGATTTCAGCAAGCGAAGCCAAAGCAGCCAGCCACCCTAGACGTAAGCAAATTGCCGAGGAGTGTCGAATTAAAATGGAAGAGGAGCTGAACGAGATATGCAAGGAGGTTTTGGTAAGTTGTGTTGATATGTGTATTATGTGTAGACATTAATAGAGAAGTATTTAATGCCAAATGCGGATAGTGATGAAAGCAAGGTATTCTACAAAAAGATGGAAGGTGATTATTACCGTTACCTTGCTGAAGTCAAGCCTGTTGATAAACGAGAAGTTGAGGTTACTAAGTCCCTAAATGCTTATAAAATGGCCACTGAAATAGCCAACGAGAAGCTTCCTACTACTCACCCTATTCGCCTCGGTTTGGCTCTCAACTTTTCAGTCTTCTACTATGAGATAATGAATAGCTGTGACAAAGCTTGTACTCTTGCACGCGAAGCTTTTGATGCGGCGATTGCAGAACTAGATCAGCTGCAAGATGAATCGTACAAAGATAGCACACTTATAATGCAACTGCTGAGAGATAACTTAACGGTAAGGAGTGTCTCTATTTACAAATCTAATATTTTAATTAGTTATGGGCCACTGATGCTCAATGTGCAGACGAAGTGGAGGCCGGTGACAGCTGAATTTCGCCATGTATAAATCACACTAGCCGTCATATTATACAAGATCTTTATTTGACACCTTGATTGAACTTCTGTTATTTTATTTTGGAAGTAGCGCGATTCTTTGAAGTACCTGACGAGTGATAGGTGTGATCTGTGTTAAGTTATCGAGTTTCTTTAACGACTGTTGTTTGGATTGGCTTGCTAACCGTCTGTTTCCTTTGAAGTGAAAGGACAAGGGAACGGGAGATACTTTTTTTTCAGTGTTATTCATGTCGTTGGATTTTCTCTGCATAAAGGAGAAGTTTCTGTTGGATTACTAGTTCTGCGGTGTGTGTCCACTTAATTGAAGAAAGACATGAACTACATGCCTAGCGTATTGCCAATTGACATTGTGTGGCTAACGTTGAAACTAGCCTGTGATGTCAGGTGTCTGCTTCACGATGAGTATGTGCAAGTCAATGGCGGTCTCATTGTGCGCAACATGGATCAAACCTAATAGGAATAGACCATGGTGGTGCGTTTCATAAAATGTAGGAGGGCTATATTCTTATCACCCAACATTTATGGACTGTGAGGTCTTTAGTTTCATGATAGCACATCCGAAGGCTTCTTCGCATTCACGTTGTACTGGGTAGGTTGTCTTAGACTAATTCCAACGTATTAAATTGTAGAAGAGTGCACTGGTTACATATTCGACAGCAGCTTGTGAATGGGGAAAATTGCATTGATGTTTGGGTAGGAATGTTTAGTAGGAGTTGGGAAGCGGATAGCTGATGGTGGGAATGTGCAGCGTTTCTTAGACCACAGATTTGATGGATTTGCGAGGCTGGATTTTATCATCATTGGTTGGTGCCTGAATCCACCGTTTGACTTTTGAGACGTTGCTGGGTTTTGGAATGCATGTTGGTTGATGTCGAATTGAGGTTTTTAGTACATTTGTCTGTTTACCCGATTTCACTTTATTGTTTATCTGTGGCTTAGTGTTCCTTACTATGTACATTAGCGAAGTTAGTGCAGGATACTGTGCAAAGGAGGTGGTGGGTTAGTAGATAAGGTTTTGAACTGTTGTCTACTGGGGTAGTTCGAACAGACAAAATCGACGTAGAACGTCGCACTGAAATGCATCTGTTCACGTTGTAACAATTCACTGTAGCATATAGAGAAAAAGTGATATCAAAGTTGTGAGAGAGCACGGAGGTTAGTAGATGTATTCAAGGTGTAGAAGGCGTTAAAGAGCGAATGCATGTACACTATTGTGACTGATTCTCAAGCATGTGTCACCAAGGGTCCTTATTGTCTCGGGATCCTCAACCAAGTTGTCTGCATCTACAAGACGGTTGAGATCTGTAGTTAAAGTCTGGATGAACTGGACACCGTGAACTCTTCCAACCTAATCTAACTGGTAAGACGTATTGAGTAGGCGGTGACTGAGCATGCGGAGTAGGATTATTGGACATTCTGAGCCACTGTATATCTTGGTGTATGTCGTGTTAGCTGAGATTTTATTGTGCTGGAGGAATTGTATGAGTGATTTAATAGGGACAGTCGATGGAGTCTGTGAGTTATTGTGGGAAGTGTAGACTATCAGCTGGGTGTTCTAGGTTGAGACTGTGCAGAAAGGTTAGCAGCCCATCTTCAGAGGTTTTGACATCTTGAATTCCTTCCATGCTCTCGTGTATTTGAACATGGTGTTTTCTTTACAGTTGTCCTCTGCATGATGGTGTATTGTGGCAATGTGGGCTAGTGCGTTTGTTTCCCAGACCCTACTCTGTTTGTTCTGTCTGCGTGTTCGTAAGTCCGGTTGGATGTAGCTGGGTTGGAAATTATGTAGACATATTAAGCGCTTTTTTTTGGCTACTAGCTTACGAGGTGACAGTCTAGTTGTAGTCATAGTTTCAGCAGTAAGCAATTTAGTATCAAGTGATAGGATGTTTGACCAGGGAGTATTCGATGACTGAGTCCCAATCATCTTAGTATTGTGGTTTGGACGTTGGGTGTGTTGAGGGGGTGTGAATTTCATAGGGTCTTATGCTGTCCATTCACCATCGACAACATTCTGGAGACAACCCAGCGTGGTGGTAATGTAAACCTGTTTGCAAGTGGAGGACTGAATTCTTAAGCATGTGGAGGTTATGGTTTTTCTGTGCAGCAACATGTTGGTTACTCATGTTGCAATCAATCAGTGGTGATCAGCCTCTGTGTGGTGATTACTTCACGCCATCGAGGGATAAGGTGGTTCTACAAAATTAGCAGAAGTACATGCTTGCAGTCATCCTTGGTGGTAAGTTACTGGGAGTTATCGAGAAGCTTGTAAGTCAGGATAGTTATGTGAGTATTGGTGGTGTCACTTGTGATATATCTACCTCTAATTTGACTTTTCTTAGCTGGGGTTGTGCGACTATTACGCGTTTTCTCCGCAGGGTTGCTCCCTTCTTGTTTAGACAGCATTAAATTAATTGATACTAAGACTAGGCGGCGTGTGGACTATGATGGCTTAGATGAGTCACCAGTTGTTATTGGTGGTCCGGAAGCACAGGACCTGTGTCCGAGCACACCTATAATACAGGCCAGTTTTCGTGGTATCAAAAATGCGGTACATGACCAGCCTGTAGCAGATAACCCATGGGCTTTGCGTGAAGAGATTGGCTTTCACGGGAAGTGTCAACTGTGTCAGCGCTCGTTCTCCCAGACTACTATGTACCTCTCTCATGTTTACCTTCTTATTTTCCATCAAGTCTCTCGGTTAACAATCCTACATCATCTGCAGTTCCTTTTTGCTCTGCTGGTTTCGACGATGATCTTCGTGCACAGAACAGCGTCACTGGTCTCGTCAAACCACGTTCTAAACTACACATTGGAACCTTCAGTGTGCGCACCCTTCAGGAAATTGGCCAACAAGCTTCACTAGCTGAAAGAGCACTTTGGTCCTGTATGCGTGTTTCACGAACACAGCACACAGGACCCAAGTAGTGTTATTCACTTAACCTCTCTGGGCTGATATGGCGAATCTGCGTAATTGGCCTTTCGAGTTTCTGTAGGTTCGATGGCCTGCTCTCGTGGTCTTGTAGGTGTAGGGGATAGCGTTAGGTCAGAAAGCTGACTAGTTAACCGGATCCCAGTTGACGGTTGCCTATGTGCTGTCCGGCTGGATGGCACAGTGAAGATTATAAGGAACAATAAGACTGGCCGTTGTCTCTTTGTAATCTTTGCTCACGCACCCACTGACTACAGTTCAGATGAAGTGAAGCCTGAGTTCTACCGGTAACTGTCTAGCCTCCTTCTGAAAGGCAAGTGTTGATATGTGGTTGTTGTTGCAGGGGATTTCAAGACCAACACGTGTGCTGCTCGACAATGTGAGCACTGAGACGGCTTTCAGTGAGAAACTGGCCAGGCAGTTATCGGATCAGGACACTCACTCATCGAGAAGAAGCTAGGTGCCATCTCCAGTCTGGTGTAAAGATAGTATTGAAGATCGTAGCCGACTATGAAAGAGTGGTTAAAAAGAGCCAGTGTATATCAGAAGCTTCTGAATTAATGGATGCAGGCTTTGAGTGGAATGAGGAGTGAACGTAACTCAAATGTAGACTGCAATAGGTCTACGAAATGACTGCGAAGAATTCCGAGGAGCGAAGGTTAAAGAGATGAGAAAGGCAGCGGCCATAGGTAACAGTAGACAATTATTTGTACTGTTTAAGGAAACTTGGGCGCACAGGTGAATGGTTAATGAGACTATAGAGAAGAAAAATGGGTTTGGGATTCACTGAAGAGAGACGACTGGAGTGATGGGTGGAACACTTCGAGGAGGAGTTAAACTAGCCTGCAGGTACTACTTCGTTGCCCACTATCCAGTTTGTTCGTGAGTTGAATATTGAGATAGGCTCCCAACACTTGCAGATGTCGAGAAAGCGGTAGGCAACTTGGAACGAGTAAGGGCTGCAGGTCCAGACAGACCAGTTCCTGAGTTATGTAAGGATGGTGGTAGAGTGGTTTCAGTCAAGTTAACTAGTGTACGGTGGTCAAACATGATCCCCTCTGACTGGTCTCAATTACTGATTGTCGCAGTCTTCAAGAAGGGCGAGAAGTTATCTTGTGATAACCACAGAGGAATCAGCCTGCCTGATGAACATGGTGTCTAAGATTATAGGTTCTGTGATCATTAGATGCGTGGCCCGAGTAGAACTTACGCCAGTTTCTTACTGGAAGGAGTACCGAGTAAGTAGATCACCCTGTTGAAGGTTTTATAGTGGAACACCGTGGGCGTGTTAGAGCCTATGGTGAGATATCGAGTGGTGTCCACTGTCACCATTCTTATTCAGTTTTATCATAGATGTTCTTATGGAGGACTGCCTCTTGTCATCTGACGATACAGGGATTGATCTGATGGCAGGAGAATTTTTGGTGGACCTACAAAGCGTAGATGACATAGTCGTGTTAGGTGAAGATGCCGACAGGATGCAGAGTCTTCCCGACACCTTGAGTAGGGATTTGAGAATGTTTGGGATGCGTTTCTCGCCGTCCGAGTGCAAATTGTTGCTCCAAAACTGGTCTTCATCAATATCGCGTCTAACAATAGAGAGCTCAAGGCGGCCAAACTAAAACATGGGATCAATGCATGAAGTCCTTGACTATTCGTTTCAGTCATACAGTGCGTTGCAGACTAACCGGTTGGGGATCGTGGGACAAGAGTAACCAGCGGTTGGAGACTGTATGTGGTATGGCTGAGAGCCGATGTCAATGGCGCAGATGCATACAAACATTATCCTCATCTTAATCGACGTACTTGATCTCATTATCTCATTCTTACCTATTTTTTACTACTGTTGACTGGTTTTACTGCCTTGTTACTTGACGTTGACGTGCTGATATGAGATGTGGCAACTTGGACCGTTACGCAGTAATTCCTGGTCCTATGTTGTTCTTGATGATGGTGATGATAGAGGATGTGATGGAGTTCGTCATTCATTGAATATAGTCATCTTGAAACGTGGGTTTCGGTGGTTCGGAGATGTTATGCAAGCCCTCCTAGTAGTTATTACAGCACTGGGAATAGTGGAGAGGTGGGCAGTGGATAAGGTAGCACCGTGAGGTGAACGATAATTGTGGTTGGTTTGCAAGATCCTCATGACTCCATCAATGGGTTCTGAGGGATCATGCGACTCAGTGGGTTGAGGCAATAGCAGACTTGGCTCGGAATCGAGATTAGTAATAGTTATTCTGCACTTTCGTTCTTTATTTTAATGAAAGTGGCGAGTCAGTCTTCGAATGTGTATTGGAGACTGATTCTTCAGCTCTCCTCTGCTTTTTGTGTTCCGTTTTCTATCTTCAGTGTTGTCGCACATATGTATGCATATAACCTCTTTGAGGGTTGGTCATGCTGCAGATATTTCCATTCAAATCAGTTATTAGGATTATGTATTTTGCAGGTGAGAAATGCTTTACAAGCTTTCTTTCCGACCGAAATCTGCTAACTTGACATGGTAGTCGGGTTTGCATATCACAATCATCCAACGAGCTACATAGGCTGGAACGCTTGTTGCCTGGCTTCAGTAGCACGTCGCCATTTCACTGTGTTCTCTGCAGTCTTTTGAACCTGGCTCCACAACTGCCCAGAAGCTTTCTTTTCTTCCTCACACAATTCACTACATGTCCCCATCGGACACCCAACTCGTCGTTTCCCGTTTGGCTTCCATTCGAGGGCCTGGCCTGGTGTATGATGTCTCCAATCGGTCTTCTCAGTGCCTAATCCATCTCCACTTTCTTACCTTCTCACTTACTACTAATTATTTTATCCTAGTGATGCTACAGGCGATCAGTTGCTTTGAAATGTGTTGTTATCATAGTATCCATTTTTGTAGATTATGGATTACTATTGGATTTCATTGAGGAGATTTTAAGACAAAATGACACATTTAGTACTGTAAGGAAAGTCACAGAAAACATGCTATTTATGATATTCAAATTCACTTAGGATACTGTTGATGAAACATTAGAAATTCAATTGAACTGATAAATCTTGAAAACTAATCTGTCGCATATTAATTCTCCTGTGCACATGAAGCGTAAGTTTAATACATTTAATCAATTCAGTGTGCTCATATCGATTCATGTTCCTCTGAGGAGTAAGTCATTCATGAAAACCTATCTTTTATTTTATTCCAAAATATCTCCCCTGGTAGCTTAGCATAAAGCGATGCAGATCAATCACATAATTAGCTCCACGACATGTGATTTGGGCAGTCTGATATCGAATTCTTTATTCAATAATGTCTACAAGATCCAACCAAACATATATTATATGTTGTAGAAGTGGAGATGGATTGGGCATGCACTGAGAAGGCCATTCGGGGACATCACGCGCCAGGCCAGCCACTCGAGTGGAACCCAGATGGCAAGCGACAAGTTGGGCGTCCGAGGTGAGGGTGACATGGAGGAGATCGTGCGAGGAAGAAATGAGAGCTTCTGGGCTGTCGTGGAGCCAGGTTCAAAAGATTTCAGAGAAGAGAGTGGAACGGAAACGTGCTACTGAAGCCCTATGTTCCGTTAGGAACCCAAGGGACAAATAATAATAATAGTTTATGAGATCTTTTTCACTACCATCTGATAATTTCTGACACCGATCATGTAAACGTCAATTTTTACTGACATGTTCCCGACTATTACTAGTATTGTTACTGTTATCATGCTCTTCATTAAGGTTCACATCACATATAATTCGATTTTGCCACTTTAACTAGGCAACTGTTTCGTCCTAGTTTGAAGCTCTTCAATACTACTTGCTCATAACTGCATGAATGATCTAGTTCACGGCCATCACATCTCACTTTGAGAAAGTTACTATCCACAGCAGGGATGGAATTCGTTGGACATTCGTCCTCACTTCTCCCCTTGATCATATTTATTATGATTATTTAAATGATAGGATATTACTTTAGTTTGGCAAACCGGTTTTCGATACAGGAGTAGAAGTTGGGCACTATGGGAGATTGTAAATTTATTTTAGTCTGTTTATTAGAAATATCACAGTGAAGGAACAGTACTATTGACTGAATAACTTTTTGGGCAGAATTTATTGACATTTTATACTGCTAGCAAACTGTTCCACAGATTTTATGACCAGACAGATAGACAAATAATATCAGCATAAAACCTGGTATTACTGCTTAGGGGGTTGCCACTCCTCATATCTCTCACACTAAGTTTTCAGGTTAATATTCAAGTTTTGGTACACAAAGTGGTGACTTTACAATCATCCAATTACATCATGATATGCAGGAAAGATCAATGTAATACAGGTGAGTGAATAAGCAACTCGGTCAGAGAGGTTTTTCCGTTGTGCGAGTAAGGTGGAACAAAAAAATAGGGTGGGGAAATATTTTAGTTCGTCTATGGAAAGTACAATGGGTGTGTGAAACATCAAGGGTGAGAAAGAATAGATAGCTAGTTTGGAAGGATGAATATTTGAAGATGAGACAATATATCTTAAATAAATAATAATAATGAAACCATAAATGTACTTTTGATAACACTTGAAGTATGAGTGATAACAAAATGGATTATGTTATGGTTCATCGAATGTATATGACTCAGAGAGTAGTGTAAAATTGATGAAAATAGTAGATCAATAAGGTGTATGTAATAGGGCTAGACAATCTACCTTCTCTTCAGATATTATTTATAACTGCCCAGGCGAGTCATTAATGTTTGCCATATTAGTGGGATGTCTAACCCATCTTTTCTGTTGACCGAAGAAGGATATGAGCAGATGTGCAAAGCTTCTGCAATGGTCCGCTCTTTGTGAGAGAGAAAACCCTTTTGCAGAACTTTTGTCTGTTCGAATGATATTTTATGACCTGAATATAGGGCATGAGCTGCGATGGTAGAGCTTTTTTCAAGTTTTTCTAGATCATAGGAATTTTTTGGTGGTTTTTGGAACTTCTACCGTGTTCGGCTAGACGTGTTAGTACTTGACGTGATGTCTCTCCAATATATGTGGCATCGCATTCACTGCAGTCTACCTTATAAACACAGTTTTGTTGTTCCAAATGAGGAATCGGATCTTTTAATTTACACAGGTGTGAGTGTAATGTATTCGTCACCTTAAAGAATACTCTGATGTTAACTGTTAAGGATACGTCTTATTTCCTCTGAAGTGGATGTTCGATAAGGAAGTACCATAGTACTTATCCAATCTTTATGGCTTGACTTTTTCATATTTTTATTCGATAAACTTTTTTCGATCCTCTTTAATAGTTTGTCTGGATAGTTATTTAGTCTTAAGACTTCCCGAACAAGTCGCCTATCTGCTTGCTGAGATTCCACTTTATTTGGTATCCTTTGCGATCTCGTCAACAGATTTTTGGCAACGTTTAATTTAGTTTCCAATGGATGAGCCGAATCGAAGTCAAGGTACTTGTTAGAATGTGTATCTTTTCGATAGACATCAATGTCAAGTGTCCCATCACTGTTTCGTATCGCCTTGCAGTCTAGGAAAGCTAACGTTCTGAATTCTGTTTCTAGTTCATATGTGAATTTTACAGAATTGAAACGGTTGTTTAGGTATTCAAAAAGACTTTCTAATCCTTGCTTTTTGGTTATGATGGTGTCATCAACATACCTCCACCATACTCTTGGTTTTAAATTATGTTGGTTAAGTAGGTCTGATTCTACTTTGTGCATGTATAGATTAGCCACAATGGGTGAGACAGGTGAACCCATTGCTACCCCACTGGTTTGACGATAAAGGTCCTCTCGAAAAGTAAAATAGGTTGAGGTCAGACATAATCTCAGTGCATCACAGATTTCACTGATGGAAATATTACATCTAAGAGGTAAAGAAGTATCTGACTCTAATAAAAGTCTAACAGCCTGTATGCTTTCATCAATCGGAAACAACGTCAAAGCTAACCATTATTTCATCATCTTCAATCGTTGTTTGTAATAATTTATGTTTGAAGTCTAACGAATTCTTAATGATACTTACCAAATTGTCTTGTAACACTTTAAAGATTTTTGTGAGGTACTTTGAAAGGTTATATGTTGAGGAATTCGTAAAATCCACAATTGGACGAATCGGAAAATTGGGTTTGTTAATTTTGGGAAGGCTATAGAAGCGTGAAGCAGCATAACTTTTTGGTGCTAAATTAAACCACAAGGCATTCCCTAATTTCAATTTCAGATTGTATAGCAGTTTGTTAATCTGCAGTTTTACCTTGTTAAGTGTAGGCTTACGTTTCTTGTTTTCTATCATCTCATACAGTCCACTAGATAGGTGCTCTGTAACGTTTTGTTCATAGTCTGATGTATTCATGAATCCTACTACTGTTACTCAACTTTTCCTTTCAACTTCAGTCATAATCTGTGGTTATTATGATTGGTCTGTTGGAATTAGCTTAGTTTCTCTATCCCCAAAAAGTATTTCTGCTAGGAAACCAATTTTTTTAAATTGTCCCTAAAATGTGATTTTAAACAACTTCCGAGCTCAATTTTGAGGTTTAGGGGGATATATTTATTGACTTCATGTTGGTATTCTCCATGGGCTGAACTAGAGGTCCTAGGTTCCACCCCTGGCAGGGTCATGGGTGCTCACTGCTGAGGAGTCACCTGTACAGTGCTCTCAGGTTTCCAATGTTTCTCCAACTGACGTCATATGAAGTTAGTGTCGAAGTTGTCACCAAGGATGATGATGAAACCTTCCCGACAAAAACTCGGAGAACGTCAAATCACCATCATTCTCATCCTGAAGTACAGATCTTTTCCATCACTATTTAATTTTTGTTTGGCAAAAATGATCATAAAATCTTGAAATGGTGGGGGATGTTTGTAGCTTGGGTGGATGGTCTTGGTTGTATTGTGTTCTCTCAGGCGGGTGGTTTAATCGTGTAGCTTTCATCGTCTTCCTAGGCGACATCATCAGCACTTACTTCAATATGAAATGAGTTGTCAAAATCTCTCCGTGAGTGATTTAGTAGCTTGCTCTGACGAAGTGGTTTGTGATTGGTAGTTTCCTTTGATTGTTGTGTCACTGATTGTATAGATCTTCCTGTTGGCTGTTCCTCTGCTTGACCTCTGACCTTTCTGTCGTTTATCATTTTTCTCATTGGTTGATACATTGGGTCTATGTCTATACATCTGTTGATTGCTGACTGAATGACCTGAATACCATGTTTCTAGGATTTCTCTGATATTGTTTGTGTTTTCTCTGTCCAAAGTTTCTACACTGTCGAAATTGAATTCATGTTCACAGTTGCTATCCACGTACATTGAAATGTGTGATGAAATGTCGTGACGTTTTATGGCCAATTGGTGTTCATGTAGACGAAGGCGAAGATGGCGACCGCTTTGTCGTATGTAGTGTTGACTACAGTTATTACAGTTGATTTTGTAAATAATATTCAGTTTGTCTGATGTCGTCTAGAAAAATGATGAAAGCTCCATGATTAAACAACCCAGCTCAAAGAACAAAATACAACCAAGACTATAAAATCTCGAATAAATAATAATTCACTATGAATCTCTCTCTGTACAGCCTAGTACTTACAGAGAATCATTAACGCGCTGCTAGGTACTTCACTTATTGTATATCAGGTGAAAGTTAACCTAGGCGTTGTTCTTTATGAATATAAACAAAGTGAAGAAGCGTTTTTAAAGAATCACTAATGTTGGCGATTTGCTGGTAGTAATGAATAGGATGTTTATAAGTGTTTTCATCAATCAGTAACTTTTTTTTCCCAAATGACATAAAAGATGCTTCTGGTTAGCATTACATGAATATAAAACAAAGCTGTAATTCAGTATGGTGATGATGTTGGATGTTATTCATCAGAATGCCCAGTATCTACTCATTTTCCATTCTGTGACTGCCTCACATTCATTTATGCCATTCTTACTGGGCACATTTAACTATGCAGTAAAATATACTGAAGAAAACGACAAGACGGAGACGATGAAAGGAATATTTATTATTGATATCTTGTACAGTAGTCATCAAATGTGGTACATGTTGCACTAAGACAGTCATTTACATAATATGCTTCATTTCCTCTTCTGCTTCTATTGCGATTTGCTCTTAATACACCTACAATGTCTCTTGCCTTTCTCTGGGCAGAATTCTTACCCATTGTTGGTAATTCCCTATGATTTCTGCCGCCCTCTCAATATATACTACTTATATCCATTTTGATCAGCAGCACAGACTACAATACCACTTCAGGACCGATACAGGTTTAAATCTCTGAGTGATGATGAATTTTCGGAAGATTGTAGATACAAAAGGTGTATCAGCCCAAGTGGTCAAAAAATGTAAATGTGTGTATGTGTACAAATGAAGCACCTCGATCTGAGACATTTTTGGGTTTTATATTTTCGGTGAACCTTTATGTTGAAGGAAGCAGTAGAGACTGTTTATTGAGAAAGTGAAATTAGTAATGATAAAAATACTAAACCTTAAATTAAAGTCGCATTAGTAATCGTTCCTTTCAAAGAGTTTCGAGCGTTCAGTATTCTTGTCATGGTAATTTTTGCTCGACATTATGGGTTTTCTTCTCCTGGATCTTTGCCAATTAATAGTTGTCACTTGTAGTGTTTTCCAGTGTTGCACCACATACTACTGAAATACATTCTTGTAAGTAGTGTTCAACACATTATCACATACATTATTGTAACTCATACATCTTACAGCTAATTGTAATATGATTTGTGAAGTAGGATTTCACTAACACAATACACTGAGAAATCGGTATTTACAAAAAATTTGACTAACTACTTGTTAATATCCGTTGAAAAAAATGATTTTAATTACAAACTTATTTCACGTAAAATGGTTGATAAAATTTTTCTTGGCTCATTGATTCAAGGAATAAACTTCCAACCGATGAGTCACTTGTTCGAGACCAGTTTCAGTTGTCAAGGTCATACAGCAAGTCGTCTATTGCACGAAAATATACAAGGTTACTAAATCGATTTAGACCCGATTTAATTTCTTTAAAGTGAAACAATTAGTCAACTGAAATTCCTTTGGTGTAGTTAGTGAACTAAAAAGACTATTTTGGTAACTTTTTCATCTCTGTGTAATTAAATGGAAGTTTGGAAATATCATGGACAATATCAATCATTTATGGTGGCATCCTTAAACTTTGGGCTACTAACACGTTTTTCTATCGCAAGTGTTATAACAGATTCTTACTTTTCAGTTTGTTTTAATCTCTCAAATATGTCCTCCAAACGTATCATGTATTCTTGCGGATTTTTAAAATGTTCTGAATTAGCGATTTTTTGCATTTAATAACAAATCGGAAGAAAAGAGTCTTGTTAGACAGTGATGAACTTTGGTATGCACAAAAGTTCGTAGTATTTCTATTTCTCGGATACCTGTGTCGAATACCTGATTATTTTGCTGACTGAATCAACCACGAACGGTAAACAACAGACGCTAATCTAACACCAACCGGCTAATTCAAATTATTGCCTTTAATAATTATAATAATAATCATTTTACTCCAAACAGACTGTTTTATACAGAATGTAATTCTCAGAAACCTCACTACCAGGGCAATTTATTTAAACGAAATGATTAGTGCATCCGAGTGATGTTAATAATAACACTATTAAGAGCAACTATGTTGAATATTCAGGTGGTGTTGGATTAGCTTCTGATCTAGAATGGAGGATGTATAGAAAATCGAACATATATTTGGTGGTGATATTCATTCAGCCCAAACAAGGTTCTACCATTCAAATCAAGTGTCTAAATAGTGGATGGATGATGAATTTTTACGAAAAGAAAAGTTGATTTCCATTGAACTTGATATTTCCTTCATTTTGTTATCTACTGAAGAAATTGCTAACTGAAAAGATTTTTAAAACTGCGCAAGGGTACATAGCACTAATACTGGGTGATGATTGAAGGTGAGATGAAAATTTGGACCGTGGCCGTATTCGAACCAGTGACCGCGTTTAGAAGATTTAGTCAAACGATTGAAAACAAATTGAGAGTAAAGTATTTCACGTATATGTTTAGTAGAAAATTCTGGTAGCCCAAGATACAAGCAGACCGCCAAACGTAAAGATTATTAAGATGCAATAACCATTTTGTTTGAAAATATTGTTTTTGGAGTGAAGTTGTTAGAATATTACATGATAAGAATTTTCTGCTATATCAAACATATTGCACGGAATCAAGCCGTTATTAATACTGGGTGATGTTTAGAGGTGAAATGGACATTTGAACCGCAATCGGGTTCGAACCAGCGACCACCGGGTTTCCAACCCGATACTCTGCCAACTGAGCTATTACTTCTGACTGCTGATCACATTTCTATTTAACTTCAATCACCAAGGGTTTAACCCTAATACCATATGAATTCGTGATGTGTTACTGCAGCTTGATCGTTTTCATACTGGCTGCTTAGTCTGGACTTCTCATCCCAATCCCAATCTAATTGAATCAGAGAGGGGGAGAATCATATTGATTTTCTTGATTTTATGCCATCCACTAGCTAACATGCTCAATAGAGCGCTTTTCGAAAATACCATACCAGCTGTCTGGGAAAGTGCTAAGGTAGTCCTCATACCTAAGTCAGTTGGTAGAGTATCGGGTCGGAAACCCGGTGGTCACTGGTTCGAATCCGGCTGCGTTCCAAATTTTCATTTCATATTTAATCATCACCCAGTATAAATAATAGTCTCAAAAAATCGTGGCTATCTCACATAGTCAAAATGATAATAAAGCCATTAATATCTAAAAAAATAGATTAGATTTTAATTTCTGTTAGTAACGGAACAAATTTAACTGTAGGTAGTGTAACAACATAATAAATATTGTAGAGTTTATCACAATTAGTGTTGGGGAAAATGCAAGTAGTGAGTGAAGTTCAGTAGTACTTATTTTTTTTCAAAAATTTGTATAGATGCTATGTAGCCTGGATTGATAGTGGGTTCCAGAAAAGATTTCTTGGCTGATCTAAATTGTCTTCCTAACAACCCTACTAGTAAATGCTAGTGAGGATACTTTGACAGTGTCATACTTGTATGGTTTATTGCAGTAATTTTCTTAGCCATAGACCACCAATTAGAAGCCGTGTAGAGGAAATAAACGTAAAATCTTGTATATGGTTCCAGGAACTACAGACAATCATCAGAGTAGAGTATATACAATTTCGAGGGAACATTTATTTTGAGAACTTGAGTCTTCTATAGTTTCCCACTTCTACTAAATCTGAAAATCCCTAACATTTTTTGTTAACGATAACTCTGAGCTTCTGACTGATAGCTTTTCTGAATAGATATTGTCTCTTTTAGGAGATTTATCCTGAGTGCTAAGCCAGGAATAATCCAAATAGTCAGCTATTATTATCATCAACACTTGTCCTTTTTTCCAACAAAAACAAGTAACAGCCTAATTCACTTCACGCTCAGGGATAATAGCGTTAAACAATTTGTATAATTAGATACGAAAAAAACGATAAAGTTAGCGTTTAGTACTTAGTTTGTGTTTCTTTAGTGATAAATCATGAGGTATTTGCCTATCCAAGTTAAAGTTTTGAAGTTATTTATCTTAAACTACTTATATTTAATTTGAATAATATAAAATGATATAGCAAATAACTAACGCATGATGAAACTAAACAACGATGTTTCCAATCTTCTATTTAGTATTTGTCAATTGGATGTACCTGCACCCTAGTGGGTGGTGTTGTTCATGCTGGGACTCGAACCTCGTACTCACAGCTTCAAATGCCAAGGTGTTATCCACTAGATCAAGGAAGCACGGTAGCCACCTCTTGTACGACGGATCGAGGTCGAACAATTCGACCCAGTAAAACAACGGAGAATTCCAAGCATATCAGTTAATAGTAATAACCGATTCCCCTTGTACATGAGGTGGCTGACGTACCTCCGTGGTCTAATGGGTAACGCCTTGGCGTTTGAAGCGATGGGTACGAGGTTCAAGTCTCTGTGGGAACAACATCACTCACTCACTGGGGTACAGGTACATCCAGCTGACGAGTCCCAAATAGGATAAGACGCACGTCCTGGATTCCTCTGTTAGCCACAACCAACCAAATTACCACAAATAACATTTAGGCAATATCGAGGCATCCGAATAGCAACCCGTATGTCAAGAGAGGTCAAAGAATTCGATCCAGTAGAACAACTGAAAATCACTAGCATATCAATAAATAGTAATGTTTCCAATCATTATTGTTTTCATACAAAACTGATTTTAAACAGTCCGTTCTGATATCTTTTATCACCTGACTACC